TGAATACAGAAGTGAGCCAGGGCAACGGAAAGTTTAACTGCAGAGGCGTAATGTGAAGCGACGACCCGGATCGGATGTGCTTCTGCGTGGGTACGGTGGCTCACCCAAACTATCAGTGCTGCATGAAAAAAACAAATAAGCAGACCGACGATGGTGCGGCACGAATCATGAGACGGGACAAATGTTATCACATGGAATCGAAGGGTAACTGAGCAAGACGAACGAATTCAGCCGCCAGTTTCATTTCCTCGCTGTTAATATTACCTCCTTCCTGTGCAACAAAAATCCTGGAATGATTGGAGAAGGGCCCAGTCAAAGCAACGCAAAGTTCAACCACATGTATAATAATATCAACTGACAAAAGTGCTTAAAATTTTTAGGACGATATAACTGAACGGCTGGAAATTAAAAACGCAAAATGTTCAAGAAAGACAGAAAAGTGCCATTCTGCACGGTGTGCGGCAAGACTGGGTCACTGCTAGAAGCTCTCATCTCAGCTTGTCTTTTTTTCATTCATGCGGACAGTTTTGGTGCTTAGATGAATTAGAGGGTTGGAAAAACTCCCTGACAGAGTCCGTGAGATAAAATAAAAACCTCAAAAGTTCAGGTAAGCTGCTGCGCCGTATAGAACAGGGTTGCTCATGTGCCGACACACTACTCTGTGCATGCGATGACTGGCTGCTGCTTTGAGAACCCATAACTGGCGCTTTTGGAACAGTACAGTATCTGGAATAATTGGTTTATTGTTTCGATCACTATTCTTTTTATTATGATCACCTTTATTACACTTCAATTTTTGCTACTGCCACCAATATTATTATTTATTATAGTTGTTATCCTTTGAATCATTATTTACTACTATTTTTATTCTTATTATTACCGCTAATAATATTGCTGGTATTATTAATTCCTTAATAACATTACTGTCATTATTACTGTACAAATATGGACCTCCCTTTACACAAACACAACACGCAGCCACAACAGTCATGTTATCTCCACCGCAGGCCGCTAGCTTTCATTCCCTGCTACGCACGTAGATCCGAGTAAGGCAATGGTTATCCCCTGCAGCATAAGGAAATTTTCTCCACCCTCATCAACCGCTTACAGAAGTCCGCTTGCACGTCGATATAAACTTCTCTATATACGAGTGGACCTGGACGGTAGCACCCGAGAGTAACAAGACTTCGTGTGCTGTAGAAAGGCCAGGAGGAGAGTGACCGTGCACTGGTCAGCAGCGTCCAGGACTGATGAAAAATGGATGCTAGCCGCGAGCCAATGAACATATCGCTCAGCGCTTCATGAGATCAGCGGGAATGCTCGGAACACAGCGCTGATCTGATCTCTCGCTCTCTTCGAAATTATCAATTCGTCCAGCGGAGCTGCGAAGGCTCAAGAACCTAGTTTGTGCATCTCGAAGACGACCCACTGCAAATGCTCGCTCCTCCAAATGTTTTTTGAAGAGTTACTTAAAAGTTTTTTTGCGTTTACGCGAAAAGATTTCATAGAGATGAGACTGCAATCATTTAAAACTATCCTGGAACTATAAAGCAATGAAGCTGGAAGTTTAACAATGAAGCTGAAAGCCCACGGCGTAAAACTTAGAACCAGATTAGTATGGAGTTCGCTCTGTGACCTAACTTGTGAAATCAGCCCCGGTTTTGGATGAGTTTGATGAGCAAGAGCCAACAGTTTTCTGCATTCTGCATTTGTGATACATTAAAATGAAAGTGGGGATTACACAATTTTACACGTTTATCAGAGTCTCCATGCCATTCGGTATTCTACTCCCGATGATACATGAACTTGCTGATACCCTCAGAAAAAGCACATGGCCGGCATCATGTTCCATGTAAAAGTTTGAGTGCTGGATTTTTCCACTCTGAATCCTATTCATTTTCAGATATTTCAGTTATCTCAAAATGAAGAAC